TGTGTATTGTCAGATCTCTGTTCTTCCAAACATGACCTACAGATTCAATACAATCTCAATCAAAATCCCAGGAAGTTATTTTGTGGATATTGACAAGCTGTTTCTAAAGTGTATAAGGAAAGGTACTGGATTCAGAACAGCCACCACAATATCGAAAAAGAACAAGGTCAGGGAACTGACAGTATCTAACTTTAAGACATGCTATACAGCAGGCTAAAGTAATCACAGTAGTGTGATGCTGATGAAAGACAAATTGATCTATGAAACAGAAAAGTCAGCACAGAAAGAGACCCACATAATCAACGGATCTTTGACAAAGGGTCAGAGTCAGCACAGTGAAACAAGAATAGTTTTTCAACAAATGGTGCTGGAACAACTGGATATTCACATGCAAAATAAAATAAAATTAAATCTAGACACAGACTTTATATTCTCCTTAAAAATTAATAGATCATACCTACACCTAAGTGTAAAACTATAAAACTCTTAAAAGATATCATAGAAGAAAATCTAGATGACTTACTGTTTGGCCCTGAGTTTTAGAAATAGCACCCAAGGCAAGATCCGCAAAAGAAAAACTGACAAGCTGGACTTCCTTAAAACAAAATTTTCTTCCCGGTGAAACACACTGTCAAGAGAATAAAAAAAGATGCCACAGACCAGAAGAAACTATGCCATATAAAACTATTACCCAAAATAATATTTATTTTCTTTTCCTTTGTTCCTCTTCTTTTCTCTTTCCTGGAGATTGAACTCAGGGCCCTGGACAAGCTAGACAAGTGTTTTACCAATGAGCTACACCTCCAGCTACAAAGAATTTCTCAGCAATAAGAAAATGAATAGCCTGGTTAAAAAATTAGCCAGAAACTTTAGCATACACTCTTACCTAAGAAGATGTACAGATAGCAAATGAGCATTTAAATCGATGCTACAGATTACATGTCATGGAGGAAATGCAAATTAAAACAATGAGATGCCACTCCAAAGTCCAGACCACTGACAACCAAATGCTGCTGAGATACAGACCAGCAAGAACTCTCACTGCTGATGACAATGAAAAATGGTGCAGCTATCTTGGAAGAGTTTGGTGGTGCCTTACAAAACTAAACGTACTCCACCCATACAATATAGCAACCATACCCAAAAGGACATGAAAACTTATTGTGTAAAAAAAAAAAACCTGCACAAGAATGTTGAAAACAGCTTTATTAATAATTGCCAAGGCTTGGGAACAACCAAGATGTCCTTCAGTAGATGAGTAGATAAATTTTGGTACGTGTAGACAATTACTTAGCTCGAAAAAGAAATGAGCTATCAAGAAATGAAAAGATGTGGAGTGAAGTTAAATGCCTATTACTAAGGAAAGGAAGCCAGCCTGAAAAGGTTACATCCTGGACAATTCCAAGTATGTGATAATATGAAAAAGGTAAACATGTGGAAACAGTAAAAAGTTCAGTGGTTGTCAGGGAGGAGAGGGAATGGAGGATTGGGCAGGTAGAACACAGAATTGTTAATATTCAGAAACTGCTCTGTATACTAGAATGATATATGCCATTATGTGTTTGTCAAAACCCATAGGCTGTACAAGTATAAATCCTAATGTAAACACAGACTTTGAGTGGTTACAACTGTCACCACAGGCTCATCAACAGTAATGAATGGCCTCATGTTGATACTGGAAAAGCTGAGGGCGGGAGGAGTGTGAACAGGAAATCTCTGTACCTCTGGTCAATTGCACTGTCAACCTAAAACTGCTGTAAAGAAATGTTGTTATGGATGCTTTAATAAATGTTTAGATTTTTTTTCATGAAAAAAACAATCAACTGAATTAATACATTAGATGTGATTAGATCAGTGCCCAGTATATTAACTGCCTAGTTGTTATTTCACTATTATTTTTATTGTTGTTATCACTAAAATTATCACTAAAATGATCCCTGCAGCCAGGGAAGAAGTTATAATTACCTCCATTCTGTACAGGAAAAACAGAAACTCAGCAAAGTTTAGAAAGTCACACACTAGCTGGGCACAGGTGGCTCACACCTAGCTACTCAGGAGGCAGAGATCAGGAGGAACGAGGCTCAAAGCCAGCCTGGGCAAATAGCTCACATGGCCCTATCTTGAAAATACCCATCATAAAAAAGGGCTGGCAGACTGGCTCAAGGTGAAGGCCCTGAGCTCAAGCTCCAGTACTGAAAAAGAAAAAAAAGAAAGAAAGGAAGTTACACAGTGCTGGCGCTGGCCTGAATCTCTTCCTTTTACCACCCTCCCCCGCATGTCTGCAATGAGAAGCTATCAACAAACATATCCAAGTCTGCAAAGACGCCTTCCTTGCATTTCTAAATTCAAAGAGGCATAATAATTGTATGTAAAATAATTTTGATCAATTACAGCACCTCTAGAGATGACTAGTTTAAGAAGAGCACCATTAATTATTAGCTATTTGGTTGAGATAGGACAAAATCCTTTAATATTCTGATTCTGGCTGAGGCAAAGATTGGCAGGATAGAAAGACAGAACACAAGATCAAGAGTCAGCCTCTCAGGAGTCCCAGCTTCCTTCTCGGCTTGCTGCTTGCTGACATCTGACATGGTGGGCAAGTTACCCAAACCCTCTTTATTTCAAGTGGTCATCAAAAGGATCAAATAAGATAATGTGTGTCTGTGCAACGTGAACTCCAGACCTCTGGAAAAACAGACGCTATCACTCTTATCTCAATGCAGGAGCCAAGAAAATCTGTATCCCTTGAGCACACACAAAGGTGACAGTGCAGGTGACAGTGCTCGCCCTCTCAAATGATCCTTTCAGAGATAATGAAATTGCTCAGTGCTCTGCACTTCCATTCCTAGAAACCACAGTTTAAAAAAGAAGACATGCTCTCTGGGAAACTCCTGCTCAATACCCTGCTTTCTTCTTCTGGAACTCACCTAGTATATCCTTTTACCTCCTTAGCCTCCACACAGAAACCAGATGGGAGACTTTTGCTCCAGAGGCAAGAGACACCACCTTCATTGCCCGTAGGCCTAGGACCACCGTAAATATTCTGTTCCCTAGACACTGCAAAAAGTAGAGGGGAAGGGAGAACAGGGCTCATTCCAGTGAGAAAATGGACTGCCCACTGAGCTGTTTCTGGAGCCAATCAGAAAAGAAACCTGAAAGTCCAAATCTTCTCACCCAAATCACCAAGACATGAACTCCTCCTAGAAGGAGAACTGAGAAAAAGGAAGTAAGTAAATGGCATTTCTGTACCTGACAACCTGGTTCCCCCAGTAGCAGCTCCTCCACCTCCACAACACAGCTCACTCATAATGTGTTTAAAATTGAGTATTAATAATGACTTATCTTAGAATTCTGTACCATCCAAACAACTGATTGAAATATACTGTCACATATACAAGGCTCCAAAAATTTTTCCCATATACATCCATTCTGAAAAAGTTACTACATGATGTACTCCAACAAAAATGTGGAGTCTGAGATTTTAGAAAGCAAAGATTAAACAGAACAACAGCTTCAGGAGAGTAGCTGCTCAGCAGACTGAGAGAAAAACTTCTCCAGATTATTGTACAGGAGCTCAAGGAAGAAAGTCTTGGGGCAGGAGGATGGATGTGTGTGTATACATGGTTTACAAAAACACTGGAGGGTCAAAAAATAGCAATAGGTACCAGACAAAATAAAAGACAAGGCTTTTATCAACTCCAAGGAAGAAAAAGACTATGTAAGAAAGCCATGGTCACAGTTCACTGTACTCAGTAGTGAAAAATATTTGCTTAAATCACAATATTATAAACTTCAACTACTGATTTAACAAAATACTGTTACATAACTTTTGGAGGTTGAGAAGGAATTGGTGGAAGTAAGAAATCTATCGTCTTTCCCCTGAAGTAAAAAATGAAAACAAAGTAGCAAATGCATTATGTAGGAATACAAGGGTAAATTGCAGGAAAACAGTCAAAAGTGTTACATATAAAAAATATATAAATAGAAACTATATACTTATAGGGAGAGGGGGCTGAGAGATGGGGAAGGCATTACTACTTTTTCTTTACGAGCCCTATAACATTGTTTTGGTTTTCAAAAGTATGAATATGCATTACACTCACTAATATATGTATGTGTGTGTATATATATATATATATATATATATATACACACACACAGAGACATGCTTTAATAGCTAAAATTAAAGTTTTAAACCTCTTTGGCTGTAAGATGTAATAGAAACTGGAGTTTCTAAGAATATAGCTAAAAAACTATCTATCCTCAAAACCACAAAGCCATGAAACTTCCCAGTCATCAAGATCTTACACACCCTTAAAAGCAAGCTATCTTCCCCGCTCGTAATTTCTCACTTCAAAACTGAGAAGTGACACCACTGTTGCTTGGATGTTATAAATAGATTCCAAAACATTGATGGATCTTCTCATCTCTCAGCTTTATCACAAGAACAAACTGAAAGTACTTTCTTTTGTTAATAATTCCAAATCTGATTAAAACCTTAATCTCTGATTTTGGTGAGTGAGTCTACATTCAATGCTTTGGTATAATCAGATTAATAGCCATTGGTTTTTTTTTTAAACTAGTGTTTTAAATAGCCAAAAAAAAAAGAGAGAACATTTTTCCTCCCAATAAAAGTAGTTTTTGAAAGATAAAATTGGTTTTAAACTTTTTAGAAATGCGTAACTATAACCTAATGGTATGCATTCTTCAGCTATATAACCCTAAGCCTTTCACCACAATGACTCCACGACTGTCACAGTTTTCTTTGAAGTGTAGCCTTTATCTAAACCAAGAAACACAACTGTTCTGTTCATTTTAGGTCTTCCTGAACTAAATGTGTTTAAGCTCGGAAATAATGAAGTTAGGACTATGCAACCATATGCACTCATGGATAATAATCACTAATTAGTACTCACTTAGTGGGTTTAGCTTTCAAACTCGACAAATTGATTTAATAAAAAAAATTCAAACATAGCATTTAGGAAAAGTTATTTGTTTACCTCTGTTGGTTTGTAGCAATCTACGAGAGCTTCCTAGAATTAAACACACAGAAAGTCAGTTTTATTATTTTAGAATTCCATGTCAATTAAAAATAACTACAATAATAGAACCTGGGTATAAAAGGGACTTGAGAATGGGGAGGGTAGGGGGTGAAGAGAATCAAAGCAGGTTACTTATATATGCACAGAGATGGCATAAAGAAAAACATGGATTTAAGAGGGAAGGAGGAGGAACGGGGTTAAGGGAAGATAAAAGGGGTAAACTTGCTTAAAATACACTGGATGACTATATGGAATTTTCACATGAAACACCCTTTTACTATTAATGAATCCTAAATTTTAATAAATTTCATACCATTTTTAAAATGCACTTAAAAGTCATTTCATTGTTTTACTGTTATTTTTGCAATGATATGTCAAGGCTTCACATGGACATGCAATCACACTTTCTTTCAGTGCCAGCCAGTTATCTAAAGGTACACAATTCCACTAGCATGCCGAGCGCTTTGCTCTTCAGAGCACACACACGTGCGTGCACACGCACTACATGAACAGGCCTTTTCATTGTTTTTGTTTTTGTCAGTACTGGGGTTTGAACTCAGCTTAAGTGCTGTACCACTTGAGCCACACCTCCAGCTCTTCTTCCTCGGTTGTTTTGGAGATGGGGTTTTGCTTTTTGCCCAGGCTGGCCTGGACCATGATCCACCTATCATTTTTGGATGATAGCCACCACACCCAGCTTTTTTCTGTTAAGATGGGTCTCGCAAACTTTTTTTGCCTGGACTGGCCTGGAACCTTGATCCTCTCAGCCTCAGCCTCCCACCATAGTCGGTGTGACAGGCACATGCTGCTGTCCCCAGCTTTTGGTTGAGATGGGGTCCCTTGAACTTTTTGCCCATCTAGTCTCAAACTGCAGGCCTCCCAATCGTAGCCTCCCAAATAGCTAGGATTACAGGAGTGAGCCACAGGTACCTGACTTACATGGAAATTTTTTGGATAGCAAAAGATTTGTTTTTCATAGCATTGGAAACAAAACACAGGCCTTGGCCAGATTCCAGATGCCTCACTGAGGAGAAGAACTTGCCTTAAAGGACAGGCATGTGGCCATCTGGGTATGAGCTCTGGAGAGAGGAGGACTGAGTTCATAAGCTGAAAATCCAGTTTTCCCACAACAAGAACCAAATGCTCCCACTCCGGTTTTCCTACGCTAACCGAATGTAACCCAGAGAGATCCAAATGGTTTCAAATATACCCGGCCAGTCCGTGACCTTTTTTACTCCTCTTTCTGCACACATGCATGTGCACACACACACCTTCCCCCTTGGGCTGTCTACTTGGTTAATATTAAACTGGATATACTTAAGGTTGATACTGCCTGTGTAAGATGGTGACAGTCACAGTGACATGGAGAGAGAGCTCTGGCCATGATTCAGCCACAGACTTCATCTCCTCAGGTTTCAGTGTCTTCATTCACCTGGCAACCAAGGCGGGGGGGGGGGGGGGGTGACCTGATGACAGCTCAAAAAGCCCCTTCCAAGTTCTCCACTTCAAGAAAGCTTTCTTATGTCATTATACTTTCTATACGACTGATGTCTGCTTTATCTTTTTAATTTTTGTAATTAGGATACTATTGATATTTCCACAAGAAACAGTCATCATAACTGAGGTTACTCACCACTCCAGGGACACTAGTAATTATTAACACATTAAACACATCAATGCATTAAAGTATGCCTTTGATGTGCTCTGGTGACCATTTGCCATTGGTGATACCCACTGCCACTAACATAATTATCAGTGGACATTAAAAATAACGGCAGGTCAAAGGTTAATTCATTTTAGAAAATGAGGGAGGGTGAATAGAGGGAGAAGGGGGTGATGACTGTGATCAAAGTACTTTATACACATTTATGAAAACAGAAAAATGAAGCATACTAAAAATATTTAAGGCCAGGGAAGGTGGCTCAGACCTGTAATCTTAGCTACTCAGGAGGCAGAGATCAGGAAGATCACATTTCAAGGCCAGCCCAGACAAAAAGTTAGGAAGACCCCAAAAAGCTAGGCATGGGGGACAGCAAAAAGCTGTCATCCCAGCTAAGCAGCAAATGTAAACAGGAAGATCAAGGTCCAGGCAAGTTCAGCTCATAAATGCAAGACCCTATTAAAAAAAAAGAAAAAAAAAACCTACAGCAAAAAAGGGCTGGGATGTGGTACAAGTGATAGAATGCCCCTCCTGGAAAGGGCCAGGTCCTGAGTTCAAACCCCAGTACTGGTCCCCACCCTGTCCAAAAAAAAGAAAAATTGTTTTAAAAAGAGGGGAGAGGGAATAAGAAAGAGTAATAGAAGGGGAAATTTTGATCAAAGTACATTATATGCATGTATAATTAAAAATAAAAGTGACAGACTGCCTCCTATGGGAAAGACCGTTAAGTATTTTATTGTTTGCTGCTGAGGAATGTTAGATATCTCTACCTCCATTGCTATACTAGAATGCTATCAGGTGAGCCTCTATTAAAAGGTATTGTACTAATGAGAGATACATTGTAAGCAATCTAATCTAGAAGTGAATTTCATGAATGATACAATCTACAGCTAGGAGACCAGAGACCTGGGCTTGGATATTCCCAGCTCTAGAGCAGTTCTTCTCATCCCATACACCTACAGCCTACCTCCTTCCCTGGAGGACAACCTTTGGAAGCAGAACCAGCTCTCCCTCTCAAGAAAATGAGGCTGGGGAAAGTCACCCCATAAAGTGCTTGGAGAACTACAGTTAAGAGCTGCTTTATCATCGCAGACGTGGTACATGGGGGTGAAGACAGCACCCCATTGCTTTCGTTTCTGCAAAATGCCACAGCCCAAGTCCCAGTTCCAATACCACCATGGGAATCAGTTCATGTCAACCTTTGTGACCCACATGGATTCAAACGTCCTTGCCTGGAACTTGCAGATGTTAAAAGCTGCTTACCTGTAATTTTAAAGCTCTTTCTTCCTCACTGTCTGCATCAAGAAGGTCATCAATGTCAATTTCTACATCTGGCATTTCTTCTTCCTAGGAGGCAAATATGGAGGCATTTAATTTAGGGAGAAACTAAATTCTGCCGAACCAGTTTAGTTGAGTTAAATAAAAGACTAGATTGTCAATCAAGAAGGGATTATGGGTAAGAGGGGGAAGGAGAGACTGGAGAAGAGGAAAGGCAGGAGGGGAATGGAAGAAGGGAAGAAAAGAAAAGAGAGTTAGGGAGAGGGAAAGAAAAAGAACAGAAAGGAGGAGGGAGGGGAAAAGGAAAGGGAGGAGGGAGCAAGGGAGATTTTAGAGTCACAAGCAGTGAAAAGTATGAATTCAGAAGTGACAGTGTTCTACTCTCTAGCAGAAAATCATGGCAATGAATAAATGATGGGGGCCTGGCAGATTACAGCAAGGGCAGTGAGAGTCACAGTTTCCCACCCAACTTCTACCCCTCTCTTGGTGACTAGTCCAGCCTTTATTCAGGAGTCTGTGGAAACTTGATTCCATCATGGGTTTTGGTTACCAGCATTACTCAGCCCATACTGATTCAGAGATGATGTGTAATTCAACTGAGACCTGAGGGGAAGATGCTTTACCAATCAGAGTACCACCTCACTGTCTCTGACCTGAGCCAGGCTGAGGAAGTTCAAAGCCCTGGGAATTGCTGCAGCCTCCTGCGGCCATGAAGAGAGGCTGAGGCCAGGAGGAGGCTGACTCCAGGGTAAGCAGAGCAGAGAGAGGATTATGAAAAGAAAGCTCTGGATGCAATGACCAAGTCACCAGGTCAAACCACCTCTGAGTAGGTGAGAAAAGCCCTAAGACTGTTCCAGACAGTGTGAGTTGAACAACCAAAGACATCCAGCCCAAAAGAGAGGGCAAGAAAGGTGAAAGACCTCACTCTTTTGGAACTTGAACTTCCAACACAAAATAGACCTCAGATCCCCCCATCCCTCTGTACCTGTTGGAACAGCATCCTGTTCCTGCGAGCTGCGTCTCACCTCACTATCTGCAGCACAACTCCTCCCAGCCATGAGGCTGAGAGAAAGCTGCATGCCAGCTGGGACTCTAGGATGGCCACCTGGGCTCAGCAACCCTGTTATGTAAGCAACCTCACCTTGACTTCCCAAATACTTCCTTTCTAGTAAAAAATGTATTTATCGAGTAATGCTCAATCTTTGTATATCTGGTTCCAACACAAAAGTGAGGACCCAAGCATATTGGGGAAAGAGAGGAATATGTAACCCTCCCCATAAGATCATTACCTCCTGAGGCAGGCCCTCAACAGACAGAAAATCCCAGAAACAACCTCCTCTTGAACCCCTGCTGACTTACTCCTGCTTCCTGTAGAGAATTTCTGTTTCACCCAAGTGTTAAGTGGGATAACCCACTTCAAAACCAGTATTTATCAGTGTGAATATTTTAGGTCTCACCTGCAAGGTGCCAACTGATGGAAGAAAGGTTTTATATTTGCATATTTGCATTTAATAGTCATTTAACTATCAACCTAAGCTGGTGACCTAGAAGTAGGAGATGTCAATGTTTTGATAAGAGTATCGCTGCAAGGTGACCTGATAGAGGAGACAGGCAGCTGCACCAAGGCCATCTCTGCCACTAACTTGCTGTGTGACTCTGGGCAAGGTTTTTAACCTCTCTGGCATCAGTTTCCTCACCTATAAAAATGGTATGGTAAATGCCAGCTACTTCATAAGACTGATGTGTGGATTAAATTGTTTAATTGCTATCCAGTTCTCAGGATAGTACGTGGAACACAGCTAAGACTTCTTGAGCACTGATTGTTATTATTTCTGTAATATTATAAGATACGCAACCCATGAAAACAAAACTTTAAGTAGAGGGCAATTGTAACATCCTTGATCTTATTATGGTCAAAAAATCTAAAAAAAAGATAAGAGATTTAAGAACAAAGTGTATTTCAGAAAATTCCAATGACCTCAGAACTGGGGTGACAGCTTCTTGCTTTTACCCCTGTAATTACAGGGATAAAATTCAAACATAATCACCTGGCTTCCCCGGAGTCAGGAAAGTTGTACCAGGTGAGTATATTGCTGGCCATGAGAAGAGCTGTGGGTACCCACCTTGCCCTATGAACTTTGAACTTCATCTGCATGAGCCGTGAATGTAGGCATCTCTGGCCTCTGACTGCACATTGCTGGCTTCTGTGGCTTTTCCCTGCTTCCTTGGGATCTGTTCACCCCACACTTGCATCTGGCTGATGGTAACCTCCTTCAGGGAAGGGCCAGGCAGGGAGGTGGGCACCAATGTGTCTACTTCAGGGGAGAGGATGCTGGGAGGACCCCAAGGCTATGCTTGGTCGCTAAAACACTGAGAAGCCCACACAGAACATGGATGCTTCTCTCCATGAGTGCCAACCACCTGGCTGCCATGCTGCTGTTCTCTCTCCCAAATGTTTTTGTGTCCAAACAGATAATTTTGTGTATATTTGAAGTCATGGCTGGAAGGAACACTTCCAGAAGAGAAAGGGCACTACTGGGGCTCTGCATTGGTCAGACTTTTCATCACTGGGACAGAATATCTAAACAACTTAAGAGGAAGAAAAGATTTATTTTGGCTCATGGTTTCAGAGATTTCAGTTCACAGTCCTCAGCTCTGTTTAATCTAGGCAGAATACCATGGTGGTGGGAGCATGTGGAGAGGAGGCTGCTCACCCCATGAAGAACTGGAAGCAGAGAGAGCTAGGAAGGGACTGGGAACCAAGTCTCCGGGAACCTTTTCCTCCAACCAGCCCAGCTACTCAAGTTTCCACCACCTCCCAAAATAGTGCCACCAGCTGGGAACCAATCTTTCAATACATGATCCTATGGGGTGACATTTCATATTTAAACCACAACAGGCCCCAAACAGATAGCCACAGGTACAGCTATAGCTTGAGAGAAAATAGCATAGCTTCCTGTCAGACTTTCCACAGTGAAGGGAGCAGTGGGAAGCAAACACCAACAGAGGAACTCAGTGGGTTACAGAACAAAGGACGAGCATACCCAGCAGCACAGAGGGCTGCGGGAGGTCTGGCAAAGACAGGTCACCCATGGGCATGCCCAGGCCAATGAGTGGTTGAGGCCATGGTGAGTGGGCCCCAGAGCACATACTGCATATGTGTTCTGGAAAATGCAGCTCTAAACCAATTCTGTATATCCACGTCACAGAACAGCTAGCTACCCTGCTAGGCCGGAACAGCTCCGCAGGTCACAGCAATTAAAGCCAAGCAAAATAAATAAACCCACACATTTTGAGCTGTGTAACAGCTTTCTTTCTTCTACTCCCCTCCCCCAAATAGTCCTTTGGGTTCAGTGTTGATACTCTGTGAACACAGAGCATGTGTTTATGTCATGATTTAATGAAATCAAGCAAAGAAGCAGGATTTAGAACCTTTTCAAGGAATCACAGCTAAGGGGAGCTTGGAGTCAGCTATTGTTAAAAGAAATAAAAAAACAGTAGGTCACTAATGCCCTCCTCAGAACAACAGGGCAGTGGGGCTCCTCAAAAACACCAACGAAATAGTTTTGGTGTTAGGCCAAGCTTGGTCACACGAGTTTTGACTTGTGTAACTGTGATGAGTCCCAGGCAGGAGGCATCTTCAGCCAGGTGTCCTCCCATTAGGAGTGCACATGGCTCTCCACAGGACTTCATTTGATCCCTTTCTTCAACCCTAGAATGCAGTGCTGCCCACTATGGTAACCACGGGTGGCATTTAAATTTAAATCCGGAGCAATGCAAGGTAGTGAAGAATTCACTCCCTCATTTGCACCAGCCACATTTCAAGTGTGCACAAGACACAAGTCACATGGCAACTGTACTAGAAAACACCGATTTAGAACATTTTGTCATCACAGAAGGTCCCATCACACAGCACTTCCCCAGAGTCCACTCACTGTCTGGCCCCTTTCAGAGGAAATGTGGGATATCTCAGGTTTACTCCCACTACGCAAGAGTGGGTGGCTAGGAAACCCTGGGCTTGGTTTTCCCAGGGTTAATGCTGAGACAAACTAAGATTCCCTCACTGAGCAATGGACAACAGTTTTAGGCATCAGCCCTTTCTACCAAAATGAATTCACTGTTACCCCTCATGAGAGGCTTAGGAGTCAAGTTCACCATGCTTGGAAGGAACACTGAATGGTGATTCCAACTGCTGGCAATTTTAAAGGCATCCCTTTAGCCCTGCGTTCTATCCACTGATCTTAGAGCAATATTACTGACCTTGGTAACAAATCAAAGCACGTGTAGGGAGATGATGGAACCCACAGCCCCCCATGGTGTACTAGAACTCAGCTGCATTTGGATATTTGCCTCACGCTAAAGATGCGTCCGCAACAGTGGTTCTGGTGACAAGAAGTGAAACAACGCTCATAAGAGTCTCTGGGAACAGTCACTAGGGAGCACAGTCCTTAGTCAGGGGTGCTCCTCATGAAACCTGCAGAACAAGGCCCATAAACGTCTCTGCATCATCCTAGTTGTACCTCTGTTGAAAACCTACTATATCTCAGGCACTGATAGGCCCAGCCCTAACAGACAGTCTGACCACAGCTCCAATAAACCAGAGACAACCCAGAGTGACTCAGAGAAAGAGAAAATTTCCATCTGGTCAGATGGGGAGGTGTCACAAGGAGAGAAGAGCTAAGCTGGCCTTGTGGAAGGACAGGACTTGGGCAGATTTAGAGGGAGAGGGAGTGCACACACAAGAGGCCGCAAAAATACAAGGTGCACTCTGAGTACAGGATATAGAAAGGTCCACAGCTCTGGGCTGCACATGCTAGTGTGGTGGAGGCCAGATAGGTGACAAAAGCAGGGCAGGTGGAGATGCTATAAGGGGCAGCAGGGAACCGCATGCTGAGGAACACGGCCAAGGAAAGGCAGCGGGAACACTCTACTCCCACCTTCTGTCACCTTTTAGGAATATGTCGCTCAGGGCTGCCAGATTTTCCAGGTTTTCATGAAAAGCCCAAACGAGAGATCCTTTATGTAAAAAAAAAAAAATCTCAAATTCACTAACAATCCCACGGAAGCTT